CATTTATTGGTCTGTTGTGTGGCTTAGATTTCAATTATAGTTGGGAGGAAGAGGATAAAAGAAAGGGAAGGTGGGTGTGGGGGGTTGGTGGGGGGGGGGGGGGGGGGGAATTATTCGAGGCAGACGATTAATCGAGGAAATATGGAAGTGCAAAACTTGAAAAGCGTTTTCTGTTGTGGTTTAATCAAGGAAAAGAGGCTTCATACACCATTTTTGGTAAACGTTTTTAAATAATTACCCTAGATACTACGTGGTTTCGTCGGGTAACCGGCCGTGACCTTCTTCTGACAACTTTCACTGTTATCACGGAGCTCTGGACATGAGAAAGTATCTTTTACTGAGTGCATTTACGTTAAATACTCGCTCAGTGTTAAATAATGTGTTTTCGTCTCCTGTCTGGTTGGGTTTTCACACAAAAACGCCAAACTATATTTGGATTTTCTCTGTCGTCTAATAACGTCGGCAAATTCGGATCTTTTTTTTTGGACCTATCTCAGCTCATTATTATACGTATATTCATAGTCTGATATATTTTCATCCTCAGTCGTCACGATTAAAATTGTGGCGTCAGTTGGATCTTTGAAGATGATCGTTGGATGTAAATCTTCTAGGTACTTCTGATCAAGCCAAGGTTGAGAGTCTTCCTCAGTCACGTTAAACCACTTGTAGTCCTGCCTCTCTGGTGTTTCTGTCATCGCAACAAAATACTGCTTCAGCCCAGTTGAGTAACATATGCCTGTGATAGCATATCCATCTCGGTATCCCTCCTGTATTTCATCACTCGCATCTTTCCACGTATTACTAGTAAACCACTTCTGCCCTTTTCCATGGTATTCCTTAGTGTCCTCAGTCATGATGATGTAAAATGTTGAATCACGAGCAACACATGCCGTTATCATAAGACCATTATCCCACTTTTCACCTATATCGTCTGTACCTGTTAAAATGGCTTGATTCGTGCCATAGCCTTCCATTAAGAATACCCCGAAACCAAGCGTCTCGTCACATGCGAGGGAAAATATGTTTTCTGACTTCCCATCAACCCATTTCCACTTTTCTTCGACAAACGCATAAAAAGAATCCAAATTTTCTCTAATCCCCCAAGATTGTGAAAGGCATCGGCTGTACAGTTTTGATGTCGCGAAAATTCCACAGAACTTGCCACCATCCATACACTGGGATATCACGAGTTTTTCAGTATTTTGGATATAGCCAGCGATAAAATTTGTGTAATCAACTGTTTGACCTCCAGTAATGTTGAACTCCCATCTATTTCCTCCACTGTACATTGGTTCGGTACGAGGGCGTGGTATTTGTCCAGTCATGAACAGAGTTAAATCCCCACCTTTGCCTGCAAATAATTTCAAATAAATCAAAATTACGAGATGTTTACAGTCTACTGAATGAAGGAGTTGGTTATCAATAAAACTGTTTCTCTCGGTCAATGTGGGAGTCAACACTCTGCTTATTATAATTAAACTCAGGTAGCAAAACCAAATCATCATCAAATTTAACAAAAATGTACACCAATGACAAGACATAAAGAAAGAATTCAACAAACAACATTTGAAAAAATATATCCTACACACCATTTGGACTGCATTAAAACAAAAAAATTAAAGACGCAGCAAAAAGAAAAAAAAAAGGTAATCATGGTAACGATAAAGCAACAAAAATACGGTAAATTATAACAAAACCAGCCGAAACAAAGGAAGTACTAAGCAATTTCAGAATGAGGGACCGAAAAAAAAGTCTTCCTATCAGCTTCATACAGGGAAACTGTAAATCCGTTGTTAATCTGTACTGGACAAATTCGTGGCCAATTTTTATAGCAAAATTTGGCACAATATATATTATTATTAATTATTAATTATAATAAGAACAATCACAAAAAAAATAATGAAAAAAAAGCTAACTTTTAAATTTCCAATGCTTCAGTATAGCTTATGACCAAACATATACCTTGGATTTTAGCGCTGGTTGTGAGTGGTTCTATCCAGTCAACTCCAAAAAAAAAGTTACGGGGCTTATCAGCAACTGTATTCTAGTCATTTTCATACCTTTTGTATCAATAGCAGTTGAATACTCTGGACATGCTGCCAGGCAATGGAAACCGACAATTCCTTTTCTGAGACAAAAATTTGCCCAGTGGCCACTGCAACAGGCATCACTAAAGATCATTGGGTAATACAAGCCTCCAGGCAACATGTCAAAAATTTCTTGGATACTGATTGTTCCATCTTCAAAGCACCAGTTGCCAGTACCAATCTCGCCATGCCCAGTATAGTACAGCATGGGTTTGGCCTCTTTAAGCTTGCACTTTTCAAAAAACCTGCTAATTTGTTGGAGAGCTGCGTCTTTGGTTAAATATAAATCTTTAACAGTGTTGAACAACTTTGTTCCGACCACGTCTTCCGTGTTGACTAAATCACGAGTCACACCGGCAATAAATGCGCCATTCCTATCTCCTTGTACATCTCGAGTTCTTCTCTCAGAAATT